TGCCTCAGCGAAGGGCAGGAGAGCGCAAAGACCTCGAGCTTCAGGCCCAAGTGTTGAAGCCGGGCTAGGCCCCCGAGAGGCAAACCGCGGGGATGAGTCCCGCAATCGCGAGAGTCGGCTGGGCAGACTCACCTGTGAAAAGCGGCATGGCTGGCGAGTTAAGCAAGCAAGGCAATGAGCTAGCTAAAGACAGAAGACGGAGCTGTAGCAGCGCGGCACTTCCCTGCCTGCCTGCCTCCCTCCCTCGGGGTCTTATTCAAACCGGCCCCTCAGGATGACGCTGCAAGCGCGGATGGCTGCGCACGCAGCTCCGGAAAAGGCACCGCCTCCTCCCCCTCCTCAGCTCTGCTGCTGGAGATCCTACTAGGAAGGAAGCGGGGCTTAAGCTTGTTGGGCTTCGTTGCGCTTGAGACGGAGGTTTCTCCCGCCCGTTATTGTTTTCCTCTGCTCTGTCAGCCTTTCCTTTACTGGTTGCGGCAACTGGTGCCACTAAAACAAGGGATTAATCTAATCTAGCCTAATCTAGTCAAATGGGCGGAGGAATTAAAAAGAGTTTATCGTGCTGTAAAGTTGGGGATTATGAGAGTTGAAGTGCAACTCCTTCGGGAACCAGCAAATTTAAAAAGGCTGAATTGATATTAATCTATAGACTCCTATGGATTCTAAATTAATTTAAGACTCAAACGTCAGACTTTTTCCTTGGCATTATCGAACCCATGTAAACGGCGTCAATCGATCCTGTGTAATTTTTTGTGTATCGAATCAATTCACAAATTTGAGTAATTAGCACAAACTACTTAAGCAGGTTTTTATTATATCTTATGGTGACCATAATGCAGCATGAACTACACAACAGAACATCTTTGTAAATCTGATATTCTAGGACAGTAATTTGTGTGGCTTTACCAGATCTGGCCTGTAATGCAAAATAGCATTTTAACTATCTGGAGTCTCAGTGGACCTTGGCAGTTCTATTAGACTAATTTATAAAATGCTATTTCTGAAACATTTTAGTATATTCACAGTGATTTGCAAATTTCTTTCAAATATCTCTTTCACTGCAATGAGAACTTTGTTAAAATAAAATGCTTGCAAAGTTAAATGCATTAAAAGGCAGCACTATGGTAACACCTAATTCATACAAGTATAGTCAAAGTTGAAATGTGTCAACTACTTTTAGAAATCATTTTTAAGTGGACTATATGTTATACATCTGAATATTTTCTGTGGTATGGGTAATCTTTGACTTAACAACTGTTAGTTTAGCAATTGAAGATACAAAAGCATTGAAAAAAGTGACTTATGCAGGCACTTATTACCATGTTTGGTGGACATGTGCCAAAGCAAAGTTATTGGAAAAAAATACATGCCTAGCTAGAAAAGATGTTGGGAGAACACCTAGATTTTAAATCTGAACTTTTTTTATTAAGTATAATGCCAGAAAAGACTGGTAAACAAAGCATATATTTGACTTTGCATGTTACAAGAGTGGCGCAGTATTGGAAAAATGAAGGAAATACCATCAGATGAAGAAATAATTAAAAAAATATTAGAATTGCGCAGAGATGGGTAGACTCTGAGACTGAAAGAAAAAGAAATAATGAAATATTATCAAACCTGTGACTTATTTTATCGATGACTAGAAAGAATAAAAGATTAGGAACATAAATATGTATTAGCATATGTTAACTCAGACAGCACGTTTGTTGAACAAATACTATTGAATGTATGGAAAAAATAAAAAATAAAAAAACTTTTTTAAAGAAAAAAGTGACTTATGACTGTTACAGCATTCTCACAGTCATGTGAACAAAATTGGAGTACTTGGCAATGCATCTATGACAGTTGCAGCATCCTAAGGACATAGAGTCACCATTTGTGACTTCTTACTAGCAAAGTCAATGGGGAGCAGGATTTTTCACTTCACAACTGCGGCAAAAACAATTATAAAATGGAGCACAATGCAATGAAAATTCTGATCCCAACTTCTTGATCTGTGATCAAAAGTTGATCACAGATCAGCTACTACCATTAATGTTTAATAGGGACAGTAGTAGGGAACTATATAAATGTTATCTATTTTTATTCTGCCTTTATTATGAGGCAGAATAGAAGATAGCAAGCATACCTAATATCCCTATTTTCCCAACCAGACTGAGGATGGGTTGGATTGTGTGTGTGACTGGGCCAAAGACACCAGCCAACTTTCATGCCAACAGATTCCTGGTTTCTAGCCTGATGCTTAACCACTAGACCAGGGGTCTGCAACCTTAAACACACAAAGAGCTACTTGGACCCGTTTCCCAGAGAAAAGAAAACACTGGGAGCCGCAAAACTTGTGCGCGCACATGCATGCAGGCACAAGGGGGAAGGGAGCTTGACTGAAGACTTTAATTAAAAAGAAATAGAGGCTGCTGTGCATGAGTTCTCTCTCTCTCTCCTCTCTCTCTCTTTCCTCTTTCCCTCTCTCCCTTTCCTCTCGCCCTCTTTCTCTCTCCCTCTTTCACTCTCTCCCTTTCTCTCCCTCTTTCCTCTCCTCCCCTCTTTCTCTCTTTTTCTCTCTCTCCCTCTTTTTCCTCTCTTTCCTTTTTCTTCCTCTCTCTCTCTTTCTCCCCCCCCCGTCTCTCCCTCTCTCCGATCTTCTGTTCACCTGGCAAGCTGGCTTCAAGCTATTCTCCAAGAAGCTGACAACATGAGCTGGCTCTCTCCTCATCTTCCTGCTTCCTGCAGAGAGGCAGCCAAGGCAGGAGCCCCGCCCAATAAGCTTGTCAGCTCGTTGGAGAACATGGTGAAGCCACTCTTTTTTACACACACACACAGAGAGAGAGAGAGAGAGAGAGAGAGAGAGAGAGAGAGAGAGAGAAGGGAAGCGCAAGTGTCTCTCTCTGTGTGTCTCTGTGTCTCTCTGCAAATGGCAGAGGAGGCTGGGAGCCGCAGGAAAAGGCTCAAAGAGTCGCATGCAGCTCTGGAGCCGCAGGTTGCTAACCTGTGCACTAGACCAAACTGGCTCTTATCAATGTAAATAACAGCCTAATCCTATTATTCATAATTAGGAGTTGATTAATTTCCAGTGTTTGATATAGAAATAAAGGACCAGTGCTTGTTGATATTCTAAAAGGCTTTATATTTCGGTAGAATATATAGTAGATACAGGCTGGTTGTCATTGTTTTTATATGGCCTAGAGCAGGGCTTTTCAACCTTTTCACCCATTGTACCACTTTTAGGATATGGCAACATCCGAGTACCACCAGTCGCCTAGCAAGGTGTCAAAAACGTGATGACCAAAAAAAACAAAAAGGAAAAAAGTGATATAGTACAGGTAGTCCTTGACTTACAACAGTTTGCTTAGTGACTGTTCGAAGTTACAATGGCACTGTGCCCCCAAGCCACAGCTGAGCAAGATGCCTGCCTGCCTATGGGGGGGGGTGTTTGGTTTTTATTCCCCGTCTGCTGGGTGGTTGCAGCAGGTTTTGGTCACTTCACAAGACCCTGTGACACTGTGACCGTCATAAATATGAATCAGTTGCCGAGCATCTGAATGTAAATCACAAGACCCTGGAGAGGCTGCAACATTCTTCTCGGCTTAGCAGAAGCGCCAGGATCAGTGCCGAGCTCCATCTGGAGTCTGGCACTGATCCTGGCACTTCCGCTGAGCCCTGACAGTCCTGCAGTTCCACCATCTCTTGCTCAGGTTTGTGCGGTGCTGCCACCGCTTCAGCTCATTCCCCTTCCCCACTACTTTTCTAGGATGGTCGCGTACCACCTGCCAGGTGCCAATGTACCACAGGTGGTACCCGTACCACTGGTTTAAAAACCCTGGCCTAGAGCAGGGATGTCAAACTGTTGGCCTGCAGGCCGGACATGTCACCAGCAAACTGCGCCCACCCCTTTGCCAGCAATGGAGAAAAAGCTCTGATACGTCATACGACATCACATGACATCGCGAGTTTGACATGTCTGGCCTAGAGAGTAATGTTTCCACCACACTTGCACACTGTTCTCCAAATGGGTTTCTCCTCAATGTGAAGAAAATAATAAATATGATAAAATATACAGGAAAATAAATATATCAACATGTTATATTGCTGGTGCTCTTACTGCAGAAGCAAATCCTTTTAAAGGTTGTTGAATTCAAAGTTTTGTCTTGTTTTTAAAAAAGAATGTTCTTAAACACCTTTGCTATGCAGAAATGGACAGATTGACTTTAGAAATGAAAGAGAAAAGACAATTTATTTTAAAACATGGGGAAAATTTTTATTATTGGTTAGAAACACGCTAGAATGAGAAAACGTTATGAAATTTAAAAAGATAATTGATAATTTGTATTTATATTCCATGATTATTTGTATGAACTTGTTCTTTTTCTTCTTCCTCTTGGTATATTTGTGATCTTAAACAATATGGTAAACTATAATTAATATGTAATATATTATTATTTTAAAGTGATTATAATTAATACTAAGCATTGTTAAATAGTGAAATGAATGAGATTTATTGACTAATTTGTTATTTGCATGATTTTATGGAAAATTGTTTAATAATAGAGTAATTATTAAGATTTAATTTGTAAACCCGGACTGGTAGACTTGCTGAAGTGATGTTATTTTGTGGGACTAATCCCACTTTTGTGTTACCCCTTTCCCCTGGTCTAACCTTTTTGTATGTTTTCCTTTGTCTTATCCTTTTTGACCCTATCCCTTTATTACCTTTATAAAACTCAATAAAAATATTTATTAAAAAAAAAGAATGTTCTTAAACATCTTTGCTCCAATTGTTTCCCAACTGGCCATCTTGGATTCCCTCTCCTTTCCCCCATTCATTGTTAAATTAAAAAAAAAACAATTAAAACTTTCAATAAAATTAGTTTTTTGTTTTTGATGTCCATTGATTTTTTTAATAAGATAAAATGTGTACAAAGGTGTGATATTGGGTAGTTTCCCCCCTCCCCACTAATTATTGAAAACACACTTCTGAAACAGCCATGGAGCACTAAAACAACTTTTTTGGCAATTCAAAGATTCATTGGTTTATTTTATTGCAACATAATGTTTTACAGGCAACAGCTACTCCAAATGATTCATGAAATGGATTTATAAGGTGGCAAATATATACATATGGGTTGAGGAATACCAAAGAACAAACCATTAAAATGAAAACTTAACAGTACTAAAAATACAAAATCTGATATATTATATAGTTGGAATTGTTGCATTAAAACACACATTTTACTGACACTGCAGGGAGGGGCCTGACACCAAATTCACAATCAGGCATGATTGGATGTTTACAAATACACATCACAGGAATGAATTCTTTTAACATTATAAAATAGCCCCTGGAGATTAAACAAATTGAGTAATCTAAATTTTGGGCTTAGGCATAATTCTCCAGAATGCATGTCAACATTTTATACATGGGCTAGTATTGTTCTGCATCAATATACCTCTCCCTATAATATATAATTCTATGTCAGTTTTGGTGTTATTAAGCTACACTTTGCGTATGTATTGTTTAGATTATTTCTGTCTTCCTGTTAGGCATCACTCATCCAATTTACTGAAGTTGTTAATTGTGGTAGGAACATTGAAAATTACATATTTGCAGGTAATGTTTATACCTATTCTTTTTTTAAAAAATTCAAACTTATTCTATTTTGTCTTCATGGAAACAGAATGTATTTTTTCTTTTAAAAACCCTTAATTTTAAAGTTTTAATTAGAAGAGTATAAAACAATTCAAGATTGAAATCGGTTGTTCTGAACCTTATTAGAAGCAATCTGCCATTATTCTGACAAAATGTTTCCAACTCAAAATGGTACCATTTAGAGATCAGAACTCTTCTAAGCAGCATTGTTTTCAGTGCTGAGTATTGTAGAGCATTTCAAGCTCAAAATATTTCAAATTCATACCTTTTCACTCCAATAGGTTTAACCAGGAAATAATCAAATTCAGTAACCATATCCTTGGTTAGCTTCTCAGTGTCCCCTCAAGGTAAGTTTTTTCTTCACTATAGGCCTATCAGTCTATCTAACCACTTTGTGGACCCTTTTCCATGCTCTGAATCAGTTACAAAACTTTAAAGTTCAGTTAATCCCATCTCTTTGGCTTTATGCTATCTCAAGCACATGAATCCTCCTTTATCCCTTCTTTCCACTTGCTGATCTTTATGCCTTCTCACACTACACGTCAGTCATCCCACAGTCTTTCACCTTCCTATCACAAACATTCTGTCCTCTTTTCTCAACCGCTTTGACAAAATCAAATTCCTCTGGCCTTCTTTAACTACACTAACTTTCTAAAGTCTTTTTAACTTTGGAGCATTCATTGTCAATCTTCTCTCATTTCTATTATTCACCTAAGCTTTGCTAGAGTCCATATTATTTGTATATAGTAACAGAGCAGTATCACTGATTTCCAGTGTAGAGATCAATGTGACATATTTTATTAATAATTATGGTTTATGCATAAATTAAAATTAATGTAAATATAATATTGTAAGAGCTGTGTACCTGGTATAAGGCTTCTGATGGAAATCATTATGTGCTTAGTAAATGGATTTAACAATTTAATTATCAAAACAAGTTCTTTAATATCCTATGCGATTTCTACTACTTTACCCTGTATTAAAATGTAGTATGACATAAAAAAATTAATTTTTAAAAAATTATCAAGTTGCATCAGATTTAAATATGCTAACAGTTGGTCATCTGTAAAGTATAACAGTTTCCAAAACTTCCTAGAAACAGTATTCTGGAGAAAAATACCACAGTCATTTTCAAAATAATTATTTCATAAATTAGTTTTATTTTGTATTAAATGAGCACAAGTCACTACTGTTGTATTAACAGATATGCTTATTACATATCTATTGCTAGGCTTTCATCACCACTTGAAACATGCAAATCGCCATGGAGACGAATCATTTTTCCAGTGCTTCTTATTTAATACATAACTGCAAAGCCATTATAAATTACTAAAGAGGTATTTGGTTAAGAAATAAAATAAATCATACGGTTAATACCATAATAATATTCCTGCTACAAGACAAGAATTTTAAAAGTATTTCAACTCCTTATCTGGAATTTTAACATGTTACAGAGATTTAAATTGTTTTCATGGTAAAAATGTTTACTACTATTTGTATTATGATTAAATTATCTTGTGGTAACCAACAGTTTTATTCAAGACTGTACAACTGAAAATGGAACTAGATCCTACAATATTTCAATCAGTAAAACTACTGACACATAGCAATAGGTATTTGAACTTTCTAAACTCATTTGACATGGCTGTAAAAGAATTCTCAGAATAAGGCACTAAAAAGGCAACAACCAATAAAAATATTCTAACAATAATTTACATGTTAAATGGAGCATACATAGGCATATGTGTATGCTTACTGTGATTCACACTTCAAATTTTTAAATGAAACATGTTATACAAATTATGAACCAAAATTTATTTCCAAACTTGGTTGTTTTAACAGTTACTTCTAACGCCACTTGAAAAACAATTCTGTATGGCTTGGTAATAATGCATAGATTGATTACCTTAATTACTCATTTTCTCCTCCTTTACCAATATGTGAAGTTAATATTTTGTAAAGCAAACTGTGTAATACTTTGAGCTATCACGAATGATTAGCATTAATAACAATACAGAAAAGGCACTGAATGTTCAAGTGATTACATAAGGCTTTGTTTTCAAGCAAATTTTGCTGCTTTAGCACAACTTCGAGCCTTCAATGAAAATTTCAGCTTCTCTCAGTTTGAGATACCTTCTTTCTATATTCAAGTGTGTGTGCTTATCCCAATATAAATACCCCTCTCATAGGGTAAAGAGTTCTCTCATTCTCACTGATATGAGAAAAGCTTACCACATTCCATTAAGATTGACAAGCATTTATTTATTATTCAGGAATTTCTAAAGGCAGCACTAACCCTAAGCTTTATTTGCTTTTATTTGCATTACATAGTAATAATTAATCTAATCTACCTTAAGGCAAACCCGCAATAAGATACCCTCGGCGAGCTTTTTATGCCAAAGCAAGGAGGAGTGAGTAACAGCAGTCTTAGCCCTGAAGCTTGTGAAAGTTGTATCAGAAAGAACAACCGGTCTGAACACTTCTGTATGGTGAAAGAAGTCCACCATTCTCAGACTGCATCATGTCAGATCCATGAAGCTTGCATATATTGTTAACTGGAATAAACAAGACAAAAAAAAAACAAAAAACAAAAAACAGAATTATAGAACTTTATATCATTTCATATTACATTGTAGAGTTAAGAAAATATTATTTTTACCTTTTAAACTAAAGCACCTGCAGCAATATTTGTAAAATGTTCATGTTGGGAAAACCAGAACCTCTTCATAGTTAATGTATTTCCTTAATAATTATGACAGCAAGTATGATTTTGTGATCCCCTCACTTCTTGTTCATTGTTTTTAAAGTTAATTAATATACTACAGTATATTAATAATAGATTCCCATCTATAATAAAGCTATTGATAAAGAAATGACAGAGCATAGTAATTAAATTACTAAATATTTAAGATGAAGCCAATTTGGTCTACTGATTAAGGCATTAGGCTACAAATCAGGATACTTGTGAGTTCTAGGCCTGCCTTAGGCATAAAAGATAGGTGAGTGACTTGGACTAAGTCAATCTCCCAAGGGACAGAAACTAATCAACTCCAAGGAGAAATTTCTTGATAGTTAGAACAATTAATCAATGGAATGACTTGCCTCAGGTGCTTCAACACTGGATATTTTTAAGAAAAGATTGGACAATCATTTGTCTGAAACGGTATAGGGCAGTGGTGGCGAACCTATGGCACGCGTGCCAGAGGGGGCACTCAGAGCCCTCTCTGTGGCCATGTGTGCCGTGCCCCATAGATGGCGAGGGACTGGCCCCGCTTCCCTGGCCCCACTCACCCAGTCTGCCATGACCACCATGGCCCCGCCCACCCAGCACCCAGTGATAAATGAGTGGGTTTTGGGTTGCAGTTTGGGCATTGGGTCTCTAAAAGGTTCGCCATCACTGGTATAAGGTTTCCTATTGGAGCAGGGGGTTGGACTAGAAGACTTTCAAGGTTCCTTCCAACTCTGCTATTCTGTTATTTTATGCCCCCACCCACCTCATAGGATTATTGGAAAAAGAAGAGGAGGAAAGAGTAGTTCACCGCCTTGAGTTATTCATAAAAAATAATAAATGGGATATAAATAAATAAATATTAAACTTTAAAACTTCTGTTCCCAGGAACTTTTCAAAGCAGGAATGAACAGTTGTGATAGATTTTTATTATTTTTGCTTATTTGTATAAATTACAAATCACCCTTTTAAGTTCAGTTTCTAAAGCAATGGTTATGTTCTAAAATACTTCTGCCAACTGAGTGGCATTTTTCAGTACAGAAATTTAAATAATTGTTCTACTGGGTTATTTGAGCCAAAAAAAGATGTGTCTGTTTCTCAAAGTCATGTTACAGTATTTTCATTATTGTGGGCAGGTGTCCCTTCTTTCATTTTTACATATTAATATTACCAGAACCCACCAAAATTATCTTGTATAATCTTGACTCCTGGTATACCATGCAAAACTATTTATTTTTCAGTATTTAAATAAGATTATTTTGTACCTGGGTTTGTACATCTCTTATAATGTAGATAACATTATAGGCTCTTCATTATACAATAATACCAGGATTGATAAACAATTCATAATAACAAAGGAAGGTTAACATAATTCCTGGCAGAATTGGGAAAAGGGACAAGAAAGACTTAAGATGATTTTCTTAAGAAAAATGAATAAATTCATGCCTAATGTATTTAAAGTATTTATGGCTGGATGTATAGTTCAATTATGACACAAGTTTATTAGATTTTAAGAGCAAGAAGATTGTACAAAACTCTGGACAAAATTGGAAAGCCTGCCTTAATGAGTTTGCATCCTATTCTGTGCTAACTGCAGTATTTGAACAACTTTAAAAAGCAATGTCTGAAAGTCCAGGTAAAATGCTTTAATCCTCTTGGGGAAAGAGAAACAAGTTCATGATTCAAATTACAAATGATATAGTAATACTGACTTTTTCTTTTCTATCTACAAAAAATTATCATAATCAAAACTACTGTGATCAACTTGGAATATTTTCTTGAACTCTATCTTACTTACCCATGAAATGTATTTGATTTTAAGCAATGCCCTAAATATATTGATCAGAATTACAACAACTTTTCTAATGTTAAATAAGGTTGTCGATAACATGTACCCATAAGATAGAGAAGTAGTAAAAAGTACTAAGAGAAATGTACTTTTCATAAGATAGGATTCCATCACCATGCCATGTTCTGCATAGTAGAATTAAGATTGTTTTGAAGATACACATACTGTTCTGTTACAAACAGTATCAAAAGTGAATAATGTGTAGCATAACAAAGATTTTGAGCAAATGATATAAAAGGACCAAGGGAAGCAAAAGAACAGATTTCTTTAAAAAGAACCCCAAGAATCTGAGAAATATTAGGCAAGATTTTTTTACTTTGAGAAAGTTCCTTTTTCATTATTTGAAGAAAGTAATTTTGCTTTCTTACTTTTGTTATATGACACAAGTACCAGTGGGTTTAAAAGCAAAAGCTACTCACCAGTAACTTGAATTCTCTGAATGAGTAATGTCCCCCACAGATCCATATTCCTTTGACCTATTGAGATTTAGAAATTAACATTTCATGATAATTGCCATATGCCCTGAAGGCTAACTATATGCTGTGTGAAAAAATGGTGGTCTAGGAGAAGTGATCTGACTACAGAGTAAAATGGGAGGTCAATCCAAAATATGAATTCATGAGGAGTAGAAAACAAAAGGAGGAGAAACAACAACAAATGAATAGTTTTGGCGAAGTGAAGAAAAAATATCTCTCTTTTAAACTGAGGATATTTTAAGAGATCAAGATTTTAAAATGCCTGGGAAATAAATAATGAGATTCACAGATGAAAGAGCTACGAATATACATGAACTGCTACCAAAGAATCTTGTTAGATCTGGTTAGTAATTTTTTTTTTAGAAAAGTATAGAAGGGTTTATAGATGTAGAGAGAAGTTCCCTGTAGATAGGCTCCAGCATGAGTTTGAAAGCTCAGAAGACTAAACCTCTGGGTCTGATGACCAATCCAGATTGGATCCTACTATTATCCTTCTCGTTTTTTCTACTATCTTTTCTTTTTGGTATCATTATTATTCCTCTGTTGTTTTGCATGTACACTCTTATGTACCGAGACAAATTCCTTGTGTGCTAAAGTGTTGTTCTATCTCTACTCTCTTAGAATATTTGAGAGACATGCAGCTTTCATATGGATTTTCACCCATTCTACATACTTTTGTCATACTCAAAACTTTATTTATGCATAGCACCTAGCTTATCTCAAGTGATATAGCACTCTACATGATGAAAAATCATGTCTAGGATTAGATAGGTAAACCAGTAAAAACTCTGCCTAGTAACAGGTGGAAAATGCTGAACATGCTGCAAATTCTATTTAAAAAAATCAGAATTAAAAGTAGCAATAATACTTTTAGTAAGATAGTAATGTTTTGCCGAAGTATTAGTTATTTCAGTTGTTTTATATTTAAAGAGGACACTTTTTTAAAGTATCAGTGTAGACATCTATGAATAGCCCTGCTCCCTGACAAATAACATCAATAAGAAACACCGAAAGCTACAGTATTAAATTTCAAGGATGCTACAGAAATTACAGTTGAAGAATGTTTAATTGAATATATGCACTAATATCTTAGAACTAAATAATACTAAATAAAGTAAATTTGTGCTTTAAGAAAGACATTGAGAAACTTAATCATTAACACAACCTCCACAATGAAATAAAAATAACTTTGCATGACTTCTCTGATTTCAGAATCAGTATTACAGAAATCATGATTGAATAAAAATTACACAATGTGCAAATGAAGCAAAAGGAATGATGGAAGAGATGGAATAAAAGTGGAATCAAAATGACTTTTAAAAGATGGTATCGTGTGTTATTGTGGAAGTGGAGATGATGCTTCAAAGGAACTGAAATGATTATGGTAAGAATAATTAGTAGTAGAGCAGGTTTGATATTTAAGTTGGCAGAGGAGGTCTCAGACTTATAGTACTGGAGGATTCAGATCTGCCTTCTTTTGGTGTTAACTCAGAAATAGTTTGGGAATTCATGGCCACCATAGTAACCATGGACTTTAAGCAGGTCCAACAAAGTAATGAAGTGAACTGAAGGTGGAGAATGCTAACATCAGTCTCTTTTCATGGTCAGAGTGGTCTGATTGCCTTGGAACTCTCCACAACTTCTCCCTACCAGAAGAGGAAGGACCTAGGAGATTGTATTGCCCTAGGCACATGCATTTTAGAGGAATGCATAGTTTGACTGAGGCTTCAGTCACTGCCTGGAATTAGAGGATGACAGTGGAATAAGTGGGTTAGTCTCCCTGTTTATGGATTCTGGAGAGCTCCTTGAATTTCAGAGAAAGTATAAAATGACAAAAAAGATACCTAGAATCCCACCTGATAAAGATGAAGAACAAATCTAATAGAAAACAGGTAAAACTTTTATTACCTCATACTATTAAGAACAGTAACACATAATTATTTTTCCATTTTTATCCTGCTGTTGGCTCTGTTCATGGTGACCCAAGATTTCTTGAGAAGGGAGGGGACAGGGGAACTTCAGCAAGGCCGTTCTGAGATTTATTCAAAGTATATCTTTGATAAAAATTTACTCTGAACTAAACTTCAAATATCCTATGGAGTTAGTTGACTATGGCACAGTCTATCTTAGTTATATGGGAAGAGAGTGAGGTTGTTATTCTTAAGGAAGTAGATAGAGTTCTTGGGGCCATAAATCTCTGTATTAAATCCATGGCTTCCTGACTAACCAAGGCCTCCTTGGAAACAGATGGTTAGATGCATGTGGTCATAAACTCATCCTTGGATGACAAGATAATCCAATCAGCATTTTCTAGAAGCCATTGCTGAATCCAATGGTAGTGGAGAATGCTTTGCCTCCAACCTACCCTTTCTAAAGGTTATTGTTGAGAAGGTAGTTTGGCTGCAGCTTCAAAAGTCCTGCACAAAAAAATTTTCTGGAGACTTCTCAGTTGCATTTTGGACCTGAGCATCATACCACTATCGTACCGATGACACTATGAATTCTAGCGAGTTTGGGATGGGTGGTGCATCATGGTATTTTTTGATCAGCAATCTTCAATACCATCGACTATAGTATCATTCTGGATAGGTTAAGAAGGTTTTGAATGAGAGTCATGATACTGTGGTAGTTTTCCTTCCTTCAAGGCCAATTACTGTTGATTGTGGGTGAGGCAAAATCCAGGCTTATGCCCTTGTTTTCCATATGTCTTCAGAGTTGTATTCATTCCTACACCTATTTAACATCTACTGAGTGAAGTCATTCATCAGAATGAGATTAAGTATCACCAATGTGCTGATAATAATCAGCTATATGTCTCTACTCCTGCCCAATTAAATAACACAATCAAGCTTTTCTCCCAGCATATAGTCTGTGGAACAACAGGGTTTAGTTTATCCATCAAAAAACTGAGTTTCTGTAAGTAATGTCCCCTAGAACTGGGGGTTAGTTCTAGAAGGGGTTGCATTCTCTAAGAACTTAAAGGTCTTCCTGGACTATCAGCTCCAGCTTGAGGAGCAGATGGCACTCATAGTCAGGAGGGTCTTTGTGCATCTTGTGCAGAAACTGTGTTTATTCCTGGATCAACAAGTTCTGCTCATAATTATTTATGCCTTGTCATTTCCTGTTTGAACTATTGTAACATGCTCTACATGAGATTGCCCTCAAAGACCATTCAGAAGCTACAAATAATCCAGGATGTAGTCATTAAAGTAGTTACAAGTGCACCACGGGACAACCACATAATACAAGCTGCAGGGGTTTCTGGATGCAATTCGAGCTGATTATCACCTATAAAGTCCTTAATGACACATAGCAGAATACTTGTAAAACTGTCTATTTCCAATTATTGTTGCCCATCTCACAAGATATGATAGGATAAATATGTTACGGGTTGCTTCTATCAAAAAACATCAGTGATAGGACTTAGATATGTACCTTCTGTAACATGTTTTTTGGGTTTTTATATACTGTAGTTGTTTCAATTTGAAGTTAGCCAGGTGCATACAGGTTGTTCTGTTTAGGAGACTTGGCCACACAAGGTGGGTGAATGAGTGAGTGAGTGAGTGAGTGAGTGAGTGAGTGAGTGAGTGAGTGAATGATGCTTAGTTCACATAATTCACAGAGTATCCATTTAAGAGTAAATGTTATTTATAAATAGAAGTAATAATTTAAACTTTACACAGGTAGTCCTCAACTTACAACAGTTCACTTAGTGACCGTTCAAAGTTACAACAATACTGAAAAAAGTAATATAACCATTTTCCACATTTACAATCATAGCAACATCTCCTTGGTCATGTGATCAAAATCTGGATGCTTGGCAAGTGGTTCATATTTATGGTAGTGTCCCTGTGATCCTCTTTTGTGACCTTCAAAAAAGGTCACAAAAGTCAATGGAAAGCTAGATTCACTTAACGACTGTATTACTAGCTTAACAACTGCAGTGATTCACTTAACTGTGGCCAGAAAGGTCATAAAATGGGGCAAAATTCACTTAATATGTCTCACTTAATAACAGAAATTTTGGCCTCAGTTGTGATTGTAAGTCAAGGACTACCTGTATTACATATATGATTGAAAGTATACTAGATATACTAGGACTGGATTTGTATGCTGCACTTTGCTTGTACAGGCCATTATTTGTTTTAATATGGATTCTTAAATAACTGAGAATTGCCCAGAGCTATAAGCTATAATTTACAAACCACAATGTCTAGTTTCACATGAAAACACAAAAGACTGTATATACCCAGTATAGGTTTTTAATTTATCTTTAGCAAAACATTTAAAGAAGAAACATTTCATGTATTTAGTTTTATAATATTTTCTGTTACTGAACATGACTTTATCTATATCATTGTGACAACATTATAATATACTGATAATTTTCATTGATATTTTTGTATTAAAATCTATTTATAGTTGGTTTTCTGTTAGGAAAAAGATTAAAATGTAGTCTGTTCATATCTCACCTAGCTTTTCCAGAAGTATTTTTAACTTTCCTGAATGACTGATTTGCTGTAGATCTTGTGGAAAGAGTCCTTGGTGATGCACGAACAAAACTAGATGGTGGTGTTTTGGGGATCTTCTTTATTAAATGAGAAACCCATTTCTTCTGATCTTCCTGACAGGATGCCAACAGCAGCATGTCTCTTGCTGAAGTTATGTCGTAACTTACTATTGAGAAGAAAACAAACAGCCAAATTGTTTGAGAAAAAGAATATATAGCCCGTTTTGCTTGCAAATTATATTAATTATCATCACTATCTGCTTTTTCTTCCAATGAAAGCCTGCAGTGATGCACAAAAACAGCATTTAAAATACCTAAAATATAAAAGATAAAACAAATTATTTTATTAAAAAGCTTACTGATTTTCACTAACAGTCTGGCGCTGAGAGTCTAAGATTCATCTGAGAAGCTTACCTATATATTGTTGTAAGGAAACACTTGAGATCAATTATAGTAAAATTAAGATCTGAATTTTTGCACAGCATCTTAAGAGTTCATCCTGATCGTTAAATGATCAGACAATAGAGCAAGTGGTAATTTTTAAATATTTTGGTGTAGTTTTTCATAACTCCACCAAATGTAGGCACATCAAGATTATGCAAAGATCAGCAATAGCAATACCATCTTTTCACTATTCCAGAAAGGCACAGCATTTTCTCAAAATGCTAAAGTTGTATTTGATTAAAGTTCATCTGAAACTTTTATTGGAAGCTCATTGGAACCTTACAACTCCTCTCTCCCTTTGGAAATAGACCAGTTTAATTCCTAAGGAATATATTCCAATTGGGCAGATAGTTATCTACTGGGATAAAAAACATAGAAGTTCCTCTGATTAAAGTGGAAAGACATAGCTAAAATGTTTAGAAGATCTTAATTCTCTAATTATGATGGATTTGATTATGACTGAGACAACAATAAACAGATCGTCCTTGCAAAAAACAATGTAACATATGCTTGCTTAAAAACAAATCCATCTGAACTCAGATTAGATTGATACATACATACATACATACATACATACATACATACATACATACGGACCCACAAACACACACATTGGATTCCAGGCAAATTAATCAGGATTTAGGTCAACAATTTCAGCAATAATTTCATACATGCATACAGTATATTGGAACCATTAAAAACACACTGAACAATAGTTAAAAACAATTGTATCATGCCATACCTTTACATGGTGCTATTAATTCTTCTTTTTTATCCAAGTGATCTTTGTGGCACTTAACATGGCATCGCCGACATTCCACTGCAGGGGGTGGCTTAAATACGTGCCATAGAGGCTTGGCACAAGCCTCACAATTGGCTGGAAAATGGTATAAAGTTGGAACAAATTCATGACCTTTATGATTCAGGAAATTTGTCTTCTCTACTGGTTGTATTGATTCTACTTCCAAGTCTTTCCTACACTCTCCCTCATTGGCATATAGGATCTGAGTAAAGCAAAACAAAAAAAAAATGTAAAAGTTTGTGTCAGTCCCTGACATTGTATAAGTAATGATTATTTAAAAACAAATATGCAAATGTTTTTACCTGAAATATTTTAGGTATTTCTTCAGTTTCTGCTCTATAAACATCACCCTGCGTAACTGGTCTTACGTGGAACAATTTACTAAAATGAAATTACACTGTGTTAATAATGATTCTTAGTACAAGGCAAATTTATCATCTAGTTTAACAATAAAATGTTAACTATTTACTGTTAATATTTCATATTCATAGGGGATATTCCTTATTGTGCCCATGCAACACACCGCTTGATCAACACATAATATTCATAAATGAAAAAAATATATTAGAATACCAGAAAAAGAACGCCAACTGTTTTTTAAAGTGATGACTGTAAACATTATTTATATCTATATTTACTATCAAACAGTTTATTTTGAGAACATACATACTGCTGAATTTTTTAATTTTAGAAGATTTTTACAAAGTCCAAAATGAACACAATTTTTATTCTTTTAATCATCTTAAAACAAGAACTCCAGGGAGGATTGGATATATCTATTTATATTACTCATTAAGCACAAAACACTGGCAGAAGAATATTCTGTCATTTTCTAAAAACACTATTTTCCCCTCAAGCAGTATAAACCATGTCACAGAGAAAATCCATCTTTATGATCCCTAAAACTTGGCTCAAGTTTTTTGCACAACCAAAAATAATCAAGTATAAATTACAAGATTATTACTATGTGGAAACAAATATTATACTGGATTAAAAAAAGAGTTAAGTGATAATGTTCCTTTTCAGGCAGTTACTCAAAATACTCCATCCTTTTCCAAGAATTTTATTTCTGGATCTTGATGGATTCCAAAAATCAGGAAGAGTCAGGTAGCATCTTTTCATTTTATTAAACAGCATAATCTTTTGAGAGCTACAGTTACTTCATCAGATGCAATGGAGTGACTAATATGATGTAGGTTTAAATTAAGATCAGGTGAAAAGGAAGGAAGAGACAGAAGACAGGTTAGTTATACAGATGCAGATTACATGTGAGAGAGAATATAAGTAGCAGTAACAACTAAATTGTGTTAAATAAACATTGCGTTTAGCAATATCATAAAATCTTTTGATGTATGTGAGTTTCCCAGCATAACTGAACAAGAAATTGCTGAAGGCCCCTTCATAGTTATTTTGAGAGCTATCATGGAGTCTTATTTCTTTTCCATCTTGGAAACAAGAAAATTTTGTCAGCACAACTGAAATGAAGTTAACTGAATAACTAGCATCCTCAACCCAGATTAAATTCATACATCATTCTAGTCACTCCATTGCAGCTGAAGTGAGATATAGCTCATAAAAACTTCTCTATTTTAATAAAATGTGTTAGTGTCAAAAGATGCTATCAGACTCCAAATTTTCTTACTATTGGAGAATAACATGGCTCTCCAATATCTAATGGATTCTACTGACTACTGTGATTTAAAAGCTGTTTTCCATGCCCAACTTGCCTCCAATTATTTACAGTATTTATTGAAGTGTTTTTAAATCAAGAATGTTGCGGAATATACTTTTTAAAAGTTTAGAGAAAATGATTTGGAAAATGATTAGGAAGAAGGGTAACTAAAGTTAATTACACTTCGACAATCACCTACGGTGTTTTTAGACTTCAAAATTATTTTACTTTTATCTTAAATTGATATTAGAAAAACGTACTCTATATCCAATACCACAGATGGATTAGATTGCTCTTTATCCTGTTCATCATTATAGAATAGAATCTTCCTGCTGCTGACCACAACATACTGGGGGGGGGGGAGGAAAAGAAAAGACACATTAGAGTCTATGTTATTTGCTTGGGATGAAAATCATTTAAAGCAAGTAAAATTTTCTGGGCAAACAGAAGGCATGAAGTCTTGTATACATGAGCAGCTATAGAAATTTAAATTAATCACCTGTATATTACAATGAAAGGTAAACATAGTAATATAAAATATTTTTATTTAGCCAAATTACATTTTTGGTAACGCTTTTAATGCATAGTATCAAAATATTTTCATATCTGGGTTAAATAATTTTAAGTTCTGCATGGTATGATAAATATAAATTATAAAAATATTTAAATATAAACTGTAGATACAAATTATTTTAATAGCAGACAAGATTTCATATAATAGTTTCTCTTGTTATTTTTTTTGTAACTGTAACCTTTCATATCTGAATTTGAGTTTATTAATTCCCGTTATAAATACAAATTTTTCTTTATCTGTACTCTAGATTCAAGTCAAAGTCAGTACTTGATTTGGCTCATGAAAGATAAGTTATTGGATACCTGCTTCTTCCACCCATAACGTTTAATATTCCCTTTGTTTGGTATTGAAAGCCAGCCCTCTATTCTTGATTCTGTATAAAAAACCGATATATATTGGTTAACATTTTATTTGCACAGAATTATAAAGAAAAGATTTGCTTTCATGCAGCCATTAGCAATGATCAAACAGACTAATAAAATAGCAACAAGTAAGCTTAGCTAAACAAGAACAAGGATGGAAGCTTTTTTTCATGCCTAGTCATAAATTCATTTATCATGGCACTATTGCAAAATCTGCAAAGATGTTATAAAACTTACATCCAACACTGTTTCAATGGATGTGTTTTAACCTAGTTGACAGGATCTCAATGGGCAACTGTTTCAGCATAAAGGTGTTTTACAAAAATTATATTCCTAATTTCATAATCGAGTGGGAGCAATGAAATATTTTGTATAAATATATAATAGTTGAAAGCCACAATGAAAGTGCAAAAGAGCAAGCAAGAAGTCCCCATTTGTCCCATTACTCACAGAAGTTAAGAACAGAAGAGAAATAAATAAGGAATGTGGGAAGAATCAGCTAGATATAAAGAATAAGAAAAAAGCAATTTATTCAATTTTAAATGACAGAGAATGATAAAATGAAAGAACAAATTTATGATGTGAAGCTTAATTAAAAATTAATAATTAGCTGATGAAATTCTTCATTCTCATATAAAAAATATCAAAAACATACAATACATCCAAATTCAAGTTACTATTTTTGAACTAAGGGCTCTTGATTTGAAGATGATAAACTACATATTAAGAGAAATTATTAGGTGTATGGGTTTGTCCAAAATAATGATGTAAATATAAAAATTCATATATCTTTGTGATGATAACATCTATTTTCATTTACCATACAAATGTATAAAATATAAATAGACAAAAAAAACCCTAGTATTTAAAAGTTGACATCTTACCTAAACAGGGTAGTACAGGTAGTAATTGTCTTACAACAGTTCATTTAGTGACCGTTCAAAGTAACAACGGCATTGAAAAAGGTGACTTATGACCATTTTTCACACTTATGACCATTGCAACATCCCCATGGTCATGGGATTTATATCTGGCTGCTTGACAACTAGTTCATATTTATGACAGTTGCAGTGTCCTGGATCACCCTTTGCAACCTTCTGACAAGCAAAGTCAATGGGGAAGAAAGATTCACTTAACAACAGTGTCACTAATTTAACAACTGCAGTGATTCACTTAACACATGTAGCAAAAAAAGTTGTAAAATGGGGTAAAACTTACTTAACAAATTTCTCACTTAGCAACATAAATTCTGGGCTCACTTGTGGCCGTAAGTTGAAGATTGCCTGTATTTTTGATATAACATGATGGAGAATTCTAAAAGAGTTACTCTCTTACCTGTAACACTTCCGTCTGTTTCATCAGCCTGAAGGCTGGCAACACTAGTAGAGTCCATGCCTTGCTGCAAATCTAAAATTTTACTACGTAATTGTTCTATATCACTCTCTTTACTGTCCAGCTGCATTTGAAGTTCATTCCTGTACGTGGACTCTTCCACCAGTTGCTGTATACAACAGAAAATGGGGTAAACCATTCTTCCAATATTTATATGAATTCAGCTGGTAATTAACAGTAAAGTCAATATTCATAAACAATTTTCCATTTATATCACTTTAACGGAGCATATTGTAAAGCATATTGTTTAAAGTTATTCTGTCCCTGCTGGGAAATGCTAGGTGGGAAAATGAATTTCCAGACCACTGAAACAAGTTTGCATAGTATCTGGAGGATAATACTGCTCATATTCAGATACTGGCTGACGAAGTCCAGAGTCAGCAGAGATGACAAAAAAATTATTCTGTGAAATGAACTGGGGTGACTTTTGAACATGTGGGTCCTGAGGAAGTGGAAGGTTTCTCACAATGTTATCTCCATCACCTATTGATTAGCTGCATGTCTCATCTGATTAATGAAAGTTACCTTGAACAAAGGGACCTTAAAGTGTACACTGTCTCCTCAAGAAACCATTAGAGAAGCTGGATATTTTAGATAACTATCAGCCTATCTCCCACCTTCCCTTTTTAAAGAGGTTAGTTGAGAGAGTGGTGGGGCTTTACCTATAGAAGAGCCTGGATTAAAAAGATTATCTAGATTCTGGGTGTCCAACCTTTTGCTTACCTAGGCCGTACTGAGAGAAGAATTGCTTTGGACTGCAAAATATTAGTGTGTGTGTGTGTGTGTGTGTGTGTGTGTGTGTGTGTGTGTGTTTTCTGAGGTTTTCGCGGGTATTTGTATGTAGGTCTTTGGTTGTTCGGGTTTTCTCCCGCGTAAAATTGGAAGTATCTTGGCGACGTTTCGACAAAGTCCCATTCGTCATCTTCAGGCTGGTGTTTTCAGCTTCGTGCTTTGAGCAGCAATGTGTGGTCTTAGCTGTTTCTTCCTTTTAACTGCCAGTGGGGGTATGAACTGATTGGGTGGGAGCTTGGCTGTGTTTTGATTGGGTGGAGGTGTGTTCTGAATGGTTAGGGGCTTGGCTGTGCTCTGATTGGCTGGGGGAGTGTTCTGTTTGGTTGTGCTCAGGTTAGTCTGAGTTGCAGAGGGGTTTAAGATTTTGGGCTGCCTTGCTATTTTTTGGCTTCGCGTTCGTGGTCGTGCCTCCTCTTCATGGAAGGTGTCAGTTTGCTTCATGTATGGATTGGAGGGGTTTTTTTTTTTTATTGAAAATTTTTAAATTTTTACAAAAACAAATCCCCTTCCCATACCCCCCCAACCCTACCTCACCCCCCTCCTCCCCAACCTCCCAAACCCTCCCCTAGACTTCCCAGAGCTGAGTACAGGCTTAATTGAGAAAAAAACTTAAAACACTTTTAAAACCTAAACAAATTTAAATACAATCATCATTCTATATAAACTCCCTCCAAAAACGCAAATTTAAAAATTACTTTCTTTGAATATCTATGCCTATAATATAAAATCTAATTTCTCCCTCTTTCTTTATCCTAATACAAAAAAATAAACATATAAACCTTTGTTGTACCATTAAAACTAAATACTCTTAGAAAACTTAAAGTAAATACATATTTCCTTCAATCTTCATAATCTTCTCACCTATCCAAAAAAAAAAAAAAAAAAACTTAAAAATCCTAAACAAATCTAGACACATTTAGTTAAATAAATTATTTTCTCTTAAAAATATTAATAATAATATTTAAAAGCTTGAAACACTTTTAAATCCTAAACAAATCTAAATACAATCATCATTCTATATAAACTTTCTCCAAAAACACAGATTTAAGCATTACTTTCTTTCCTAAACAACTCTAGACATTTAATTAAGCAAATTATTTTCTCTTAGAAATATTAATAATAATATTTAAAAACCAAATTTAAGCATTACTTGAAACTTAAACAAATTATCCTCCCTTCGAAACACAAATTTATTAGAATCCCCTCACTGAAATAAACAAATTATAATCCCTTCAAAACACAGGTTTAAACAATATTATCATTAAAGGTTTTAAACTTAAAACTGAAATATATTATTATCCCAAAACACATATTTAGACATTACATAAGACATTTTCCAAAAACGATATAAGTTTTACTTCTCCCACAATCTCAATAGTAAACTTGTCTAAAGTTCTCATTCAATGTCCATAATTTTCTGTCCAATAACCAGTTGCACCCACTATAAACACAAACTTCTTATCTAAAATTTTCATTCAATATCCATAATCTTCTGTCTAATAGCCAGTTGCATCTACTATAAGCACAATCCATATCGGTCTCTCTTGCCCGCAAGAATCGAAAAAAATGCGTGGAATTCTGCCCTTGAAGATCGCTCCAAAGAGTTTGTAAGTCCTGGTTGACCCACCAGCTCAGGAATCAGTACCTGTGAAAATTCCTCAACCTCCTTCTTCTGTTGGTCTTTCTCTTTACATTTATATGTTACTTTTTCTTTACATTTATATGTTGCACAAGTCTCAGGGACCGATACCTGTAAAACTTCCTCAGTGAATTCCTCCTTGTGTTGATCTTCACAGTTATAAGTTGTACAAGTTATCCTCTGCCCGTTCCTCTCTTGTTGGTGCCCCTCAAGCTGAAATTTCCCAATTTCGATTTCAGGCAGCAATTCCACCCTTGAAGATTGCTCCAAAGACTTTGTAGGTCTAACTTCTCCCAGAGCCACCCTTGAAGATTGCTCCAAAGACTTTGTAAGTCCAACATCTCCCAGAGATTCAGAGACCGCTGAATATGAAACTTCCTTAACCTTCTTCTGTTGCTGCTTTTCTTTGGAGTTATGTGCTACACAAGTTGTCTTCTGCTCCTCAATCTGGACTTGTTGAGACCTAATAGATGGCGATGCACATACCCCCAGGACCGAAGTATAAAAATCTTTTGCTTGAGAAACAGTATTAAGTCTATGACATGTCCCCAGGTAGTTCACCACCATTCCAGTCGGAATATCCCATCTGAATAGAATTTTTCTCTTTTTAAGTTCATTTACTAGAAAAGCAAACTCCTTTCTTCTTCTTAAAATTTTAGATGGGATCTCCTTAAAAATTATGACATCTTGTGAAGCAATTTGAAATCTCTTCTTATAATAGGCTTGCACAATTTGATTGCGTAAGGATCTTTTACCAAAGTAAATTACCACATCTCTTGGCAGATTCTTCTGTGCTGCCACCACAGAGTTAACCCTAAATAATTTTTCAATTTCACTAAGTATTCCCTCTTTTTCTTTATTCAAAATCAATGCAAAGTCCTTTGCAACCATTTCTTTCAAATCTTCTTGCAAAGACTCTTCCAGGCCTCTGATTCTTAAGGCATATTCCATTTGTCCATATTGAAGCATAAGAATCTCATTTTCCATTTCTTTTTCCATACTTTCAATTTTCCCCTCCATTATGTCCACTTTTTCAGCTACCTCTTCCACATGGGAGTTCACCTTTTCAAGAACAGAAGCAACTCCTTCTAAAGCCAAAACAAAATCTTGTCTCAAGATCTTATTATTTTCCTCTAAAATCTTTTTCATTTCTGCCCTAATTTGAATTATAACATCTCCCATCATGTTTTGCAAATCCTTCATAGTTATTAGCTGACCCCCAGAAGAGGGTGAAACTGTTGATTTAGAAGCTGTAGAAATCCCTGGACGCTTTGGAGCCATCTTAAAGAAAAACCTTTAGCCCTTCTTAAAAAATTATAAAAATTCCTTCAAAAATCATAACTCCCTCCAAAGAAGGTCATTATAATAAAAAGAAAAAAGGGAAAAGAAAAAAAAAAGGAAGAGAAAAAGAATTAAAAAAAGCTTTACTCCTTCTTAAAAATTGCAAAAAATTAAACAGAAAAAAGTCCTTCAAAAAAGAGTCATTACAATAAAAAGAAGGGAGAAGAAAAAAAAAATAATAATAATTAAATAGAAAAAGTCCGTTCCAAAAAAAAAATACTTAGAGATACCAAAAACAACCATTCCAATCATAAGAAAATAAAAAGGGAAAGGGAAAGGAAAGAAAAAGAAACACCAAAAAGCCTGCCAGTCAGCATTCTAACTTCAAAAAAAAAAAAAAAAAAAAAAACACCGAGAGATTTGCCGATCGCCATTTTACTTTCCCTTTCAACAAAGAAAAAAAAAAATAAAAAGAGAGAATAAAAATAGAAGCAAGTCTTAAAACTTAAAATCCAAATAAATCAAAGAAAGCAAAAACTAAATCCTCTACTCAGCTCTGTCCGTTTATAAAAAAAAAAAATCACCAGTTCTCTTTAAGCACGGAGGTGTTTGCAGCGGCTCGTTTTGTCCCTGAGGACAAAAACAGCTGGGAAGCGGAGACAAGTCTGAACTCCGTGGGAGCACTCCTTTCACCCCCCCAAAAAAAAACTTGGGGGGTGCAAAAGAGGCTCTACCACTATTCAGACACTCTCTACCCCCCCCCTTTGCCCGGGAGGGGGATTTTGAACCGCTGAACAGCTGGTGTCTGCTGTTCATAGCGGTTCTTACACTTACCCAGGAAAGACGGCTACAAAGTAGCCGCCATCGCGCGCGCAAAATCCGATTGGAGGGGTTTAAAGTGGCTAATGATGCAGCTGTGGTCTGGCTTCTGGTTTGTGGTCGTGCCTCGTCATCGGTGTGGCTTTGGGTTTGTTTTTTGCGTGGATGTGTGGTGGTGACCTCCTGTGTGGTTTTTGTGAGTGTGGGTCTGGTATCATTTTTTGTGTTAGGGAGTCGTTTGTCAATAAGGGCGGGTTTCCAAATGGCTGGCAGGCGGGAGGTATCATCTCGCTTGTTCATGCTGTGTGGGTGTTTTTCTATCTCGATGGCTTCTCTGATTATTCTGTTATTAAAATGTTCACTTTTGGCAATGGTTCTGGTATTTTTAAAGTCAATTTCATGTCCTGGGCTTTAAGGTGTTGGACCAGGGAAGATGTTGGTTCCTCTTTTTTGACTGAGTTCTTATGTGCTTCAATGCGTGCACTTATTCTTCTGTTGGTTTGTCCGATGTATGTGGTGGGACAAGTGGTGCATGGGATTTCGTATACTCCTTGATTTTCTAATTCAATTTTATCTTTGGGGTTTCTAAGGATGGTGGATAGTTTTCTGTTTGTGCAGAATGCTGTTTTGATGTTGTGTTTATGGAGGATCTTACTGATTCTGTCTGTGGTGCCTTTTATGTATGGGAGGAGGGCTTTGCCGGTTTCTTGTTCTTTGTCTTGGATTTTGGTGGGGGTTTCTTTTTGGATTAGGTTTGTAATCTTATTTCTATGGAATCCATTGGATGTTAGTACATTGGTGAGAGTGTGTAAGTTTCGGGTTTAGGTGGTTCGTCAGCTAAGCGTTTTGTTCTGGAGATGAGTGTCTGGGCTACAGAGTTGATCTGGGCTGGGTGGTGGTGTGAGAGAGCGTGCAGATAGCGGTTTGTGTGTGTTTTCTTCTGGTAGATGGTGTGTCCTAGGGAGCCATTGGATTTCTTGTAGACTAAGACATCAGGAAGGGAAGTTGGTTGTTAGCTTCTGTTTCCATGGTGAACTGTATTTTGGGGTGTAGGCTGTTGAGGTGTGTGAGGAAGTTGTCCAGTTTTTCTTTCCCATGTGGCCAGATTATGAAGGTGTCGTCTACGTATCTGAGCCAGAGTTTGGGTTGGTGATCCGATTTTTCTAGAGCTTGGGTTTCAAAGTGTTCCATGTAGAGGTTGGCAATGACAGGTGAGAGGGGTGA